TCTGCTAATTACTACACAGCTCTTGAGCCGAATCATTTGTGGTGGAACAGGGAAAGAGCTAAAGCTACACAGAGCTCCGACCCTCCAGGACTGGAGTTTGACACCCTGCCCTAAGCTATGCCGCAGTCCAAGGAGCAGGGGAACACACAAGGGTTAGACAAGGGAGTGAAAAGGTGGGATGGTCAGCGACACCTGCTGGTTAAACAGGGTAGAGACACAAAGGGTAGGGTCGGACGGATGCTGACTGACACACGTGGCTGTGAGGCTATTCCCTGCACCGCTGTGTGTACGATGTGTGATAAATGCATAAATGGACTGGTTCGGTATCGGAAATATGTGAGACTGACCAGCTGGTCTCCAGTCAGTCTTTGTAATATGAAATATTTCCATACAGGGGAAAAATAATGCCTTTTCGCAACCCGTTCCTGTTCACTTTTCCCCTTTTCAGTCATTTTTTGTTTGGTTTCTCACAAATGCTCCACACAGTCTATGAGTAAGCCCAATAGCGAGGACAAGAATGATTTAGTCTCAGAGAGCGCATGCAGAGCTTGTGCAAAAGCAGTGGCGGTAAACTTAGACTGATAATTTTTATATACTAGGTAGGCCTAATTTTGAAAAGGAACCATGATTAAAATTGCAAACCCTGCTGAAAAAAAACAGCATAATGCATGCTGATAATACAAACATACACCCGCAGAAAAAATTAAGAGACCACAGCATATTTTTTTTGTTTCACTCATTTCTCAATTCATGGGCATGCATCTGTGAATAATAAATATTTTTCTGCAAACTGTAACCTGGTTCTTCTCTGTTTCTCATTAATGAAGGGCTTCTTCCTTGCTTTCTGGGACTTCAGTCGTGCTTCTAGGAGTCTGATACAAACTGTCCTAGCAGTGCATGTCACACCTGCACTTAATGTTTCCCATTCCTTCTGAAGGTCACTTGATGTCATTCTTCGATTCATGAGGCACTGTTGGATAAGTTGATGGTCATCTCTGGCATTACAAAGTTGCTTCTGCCCTCTACTTGACTAGTTAGTCATTCCCAGTGTCTTCTGCTTCACATTATTCTTGTTTACTGTGGTCTTTGATATTTTGAGCATGGAGGCATCCTGCTACTCAGCATAGCCTTCTGCCAGCAGAACCACGATTAAACCAGGATTTAAAGATGCAGATTTGTTTAAAAACATAGAGCGGTCTCTTATTTTTTTCCTCGGCTGTATGTTGTATTTTGGTGCTGTTGGATCAGCATCATTACTGAAATATTGCTGATGGACCAGCTTCATGTGCAAGTAGACCAACACAGTTATGCTGGCTCACCAGCTACACTATTGCAGTCCATGGGATGTGACAGCTGCATGTGCATGAAATGCCTGTCAGGGCGGCACCGTGGCGCAATGGGTCACACTGCACACTGCCGCGTCATGTTTGTGGAATTTGCATGTTCACCCTGTATGTACAGTACGTGGCTTTTCTGCGGATCCTCTGGTTTCTTTCCACTGTCCAAAAAGCAACTTATGTAGATGAATCGGTGTGCCTAGACTGACCGTGTGTGTGGCTGAGTGTGCCAGCAGTGGTTTAGCGCCTCGCGCTAAATATATTATAATTATATTATGTAGAATCGATAGTGACTGCACTAATTTTGATTGGAGACTTTTTAAAAATTTCTTGTATAAACCTTTTATTTTCTCATTGATGAAATATGATTCAAATGCATCTCTTCTATTTGTGTTAGAATAACTTTTAATGTCACTCATTCTCTAATTTAGATTACTACTGCAAACTCTTATATAAACTCCTCAATGTTTAGTGGTCCTTAGACACATACATAGGCCTATATAGAAGATTTAAGGCTTTCAAGATCTTTATTGCTAACTAATAAAAATATACACCATTTAAAGATGCTATAAAAATATTTTACTTTTTACAGGTGAGGACTAGGGCAAATTCCAGACAAGGAAATGTATTCAGATGTTCTTTCTTTAAAACAGAATTCAGAGATTGAGCTATTGCATTTAGCATAGGAAAGCTCTCTCTGGACATCCTTGGTGAATGCTGATGCAGTGTCTTCAGAGATTCCTTGACAACTGCTCCTGAATCAATTGAGCAAGATTCAATTACACATCCAGGCATCCTGATAGCCACATTAGCAGGACAGTGCCACAGTCTTACAGCCTTGTGCTAGTCACTGTACATTTACCATGAACATCAAAACTAACAAAAAATTGTTTTGAACAACAGCAGAACTGTTGTAAGTTTTTAACTGCAATTCAAGATTGTTTAGTGTTTTTTTCCCTAGCTAAAAATGTAGCAACATCCAAATTACAGGCGAAACTTTCCCACTCTGACGCAGGCTTCTTGAAGGCACAGAATGGCAATTACAGCCATATGTGCAGCTCTTATAAATAGACCTACGCAAGAACAACGCCTGGAAGGCATAACATACAGTAAGGCTCTTTTCAATATATCTCACTACCTTCTATGTACTGTAAAACAAACTCCAGCTTTAACCCTACATTTTGACAAATAGATGGATAGTTGAAATAGCTTAGATATATATAATCTATCAGGAGAACAAGTACAAAAGGCTCTTGGTGCATGAAAACACAGTGCTGATAAATATCTGGGCAATGTTCACGGGGAAGGGGCCAGGTGGATGCAAGATGCAGAGGTGTGTCCTGCAGAACCTCAACTGCAGGACAGAATTTTTCTAAGGAAGCTGTCTGAGGCTCCAGCACACAGAGTAACTAGATTCAAATTAACCACACGGCTTCTTTAATGACCAGGGGGTGTTCCCCAAAGCAGGATTTCTCAGTTAGCTGGGATAATTTAAGCTAGAAGTCATAACTGTCCAATAAGAGTTTAGGTCAGGAGCAATTCTATTGGAAACCATGACTTCTAGCTTAAGTTAACCTAGCTAACTGAGAAATCCTGCTTCATGGAACACCCCCTTCCAGGAAAAGCAGAAAACATCAGCATTAAGTTAATACAAAGCCACTCTGTTTACTCAAATCTGCCATTCCTCTAATGTTGCATGAGAACGGGCCATTAAAACCCAGTACAGTTAATGTCGCAAACATAAAATCGAGCCATAATTAAGATTAACAAAGAAGATAAGAGTTATGTATGTTATTGGTTCACATACACACTAGATGACTGTCTGTATCAGAGTGCTAATACCAATTGCAGAAGACATTAACTAAAACTTAACCTCTTTGTATCTCTTTACGCATAATATGATCTGAAAACCAAGATTCAGACTAGAGTTGAGAGTAAACAGTGTTTTAAATGGTCTATTATCAAATCCAATGTATAGTCAGACAAGCAATGTGATAGCTTCCCACTTTGTTGGTCTCAGTGCGGAAACTTGAAACTGCATATTAAATCATCATTAAATCACTTTGAATGCAATCGGCTGACAATGGCTGGTGATGTTTTCCGAAGAACATCAAGACCCACTATATAATAGATGATGCTAAGAGCACTTAAGCAGGTGATTCCTAATCTTGGGACTTCAACTTTAGCATCCAATTGAAGATCATTGAAGGCCCCCTTTAGGGACTGTGTAAAGTACAGAAAGTGGTACGATGGATAAATGCTCAATGCTGAAATGTCAGTTAAGATTGAGATTTACTCCAGATCAGTAGATCATCGAAAAGAGAATTCCATCTGTATACTGAGCATGAACCAGTACTGAAACAACATCCATCATTAAACACAACAAACAAGCACAACAGCTTCATACAATTTTGGCTTAAAACCAGAAAATCAGGAGATGTAAAATTTACCACTCAACATCTCAGGAAAACTTGCCTAGCAACACTCTTAATTAAAAGCAGTATTTCCCTATTACAATGCAAGAGTCCTTACAGGTATGTCACTTTAGTTTTAAAGTGTTGTGCTTTGAAAATTAAGCTAAGAAAATTTCATTTTCTCTACATTAAACACAAGTTATTCCAAAAATGTTAAATAATCAATCATTATAGATCAGCATTTCCCAATCTGGTCCATGGGGACCCAGAGATGGTCCATGTTTTTGCTCTCTCCCAGCTCTGTGCCATAAAGTCCACATTTTTGTACTGTCTCTGAACTGTCTGGCAGGGAACTTAGAGGGAGAAAAAACGTGGGCTGTCTGTAGGTTTCCAAGGATCGGATTGGGAATCACTGCTATTGATAATGTAAAGTACCAGTCGAAAGTCTGGACACACCAAATGAAAATCATTTGTTTTTTTGACAAGATAATAACCCTAAGCACACCTTGAGGTTATACAATAAGTAATATTATGTAAACAAGGATAGAGATGGAGTGCTGTGACTGATGACCTGGCCCCCACAATCCCCTGACCTAAACCTTATACAGCTGGTTTGAGATGAGCTGAATTGAAGACTAAGAAGCATGGGAGCCAAAATGTTCCCAGAACTTGTGGAAACTCTTTCAGGACTATCGGAGAAGCATTCTCAGTGACTTTTGAATGGTGGTGTACATAATGATATATATAATCAAGTGAAGTTGGCTTCACTGTCATACCATCCACATAAATGTATAGAGTGGCACGAAACAATGCTCCCACAGGATCAAGGTGCAACATACAACAACAATCAAGAGGGAAAACCTTTTTTTGTTTTGCACTAACTGAAAATAGTATTAAAGTAATATATTTTCTATCTTTTTATTTTATTTTCCAGCAGGCCACATTAAATGGAATTATTAAACACAAAACTTCAAACTGCATTTAAAAAATTCAACATTAAGGTGTAAAAAGCTCAAGACGCTACATCATGTAACCCAGGCCATTAATTAAGATTAAGATGTGATTGAGAATTAAATTCGTGCGTTAAATCCTAAATAGTCACAAACAGCCTTGTAAAGAGCAGCTTTGGGTTAATGTATAAACATTCTCCAAAAAAGTGCAATACCCCATATAACCCTACAATAAAGGCAGTAATTTGGAAGAAAAAAAGCAACATACTTAGCATATATGAATCTTTCATTTGCATTACCTGTAAACTCAGGGCAATCTGTCGAATGTAAATCATGTTGAGATCCTCCAGTATATGTAGTTTCTCCTCCATTTCTGTGAATTTGTCAAATGACATCCCTCAGGTACTAATCCAGTAATCAGCAAAACTTATTTGATCATTGACCCAATTTTAATTGTCAGAACCTCGGAAAAGGCAGGACCATTGTTTGGATCTTACAACAGTAAATCCGAACAGGAATCCATGAAATAAAAATCTCCTGGGTATGATTTTCAGATCCTGCCGCTTCATCGAACGCTGCAGAATAACTGCTTTATTGAATAGCTAAATAAAAATCAATTTTATCAAAAATTGACAATTTGATTCCTTTGAGGAGCAAAACCAACAGTCCAGCTGTTATGAATCGAATCTTCATTAAACTGCGGGTCCAGAATAGTGTCTTTCTGTTAGCGGCGTAATTACTGCAACTAGCTCACATTACTGTGAATAAGCCCGGTTACGCTGGGTAGTCTGGGTTTTCCTTTTACCACTGCAAGAATGGACTATTTAAAAGGTAGCCTCCGGCACGAACAGCGAGGAAATAAAAGGTATTTTAAATTGAGCACTTTTCTTTGTGTCGATTCTTCCTGGTGCGAGTGTCGTCTGTACATTGTCACAAGTCCCCGCCACAAAGGGCTTCGCCGCCGCTGGGACACACGGCGGCGTCTCCGCAGTTACATGAGTAACGGGACCGTATCATAAGTCAGAGCACCGAGGCGAATTAAACCAAAGAGAATTTAATAGAGCACTCAACAAAAGCACAACACTTGAAAACAATTGACGATTTTTTTTTAGTTAATGAAGCCTATATACCTTATTAGAAAGTGTAAACACAAAAACTGAAATTACAAACGTAAAATTGCAAATAAAAATAAAAATTGCTAGCCAATATTTCGCCCCGGTAAACTAAAGGTTTCCAGTGTGATAACTGAAATAATAACAAATAGGATGTTACTGCTTGGAGATATTATAATAAAGCATTAGGCTACAATTATAGTCCTGCATTTCTTAGTGTCTGAAAAGTCTTCACGACATACAAACATTGTTTTTAAACGGAAGGTAGGTCTATGCTTCATATTTATTTAATAAAAGAACAAAAATCAGTAGAAAACCTTTGCACCAATAAAATGAACATTATGCCCCTGAAACAAAGAATCAATCTTTTCCAACGAAGTAGCCTTTTGGCATTTGGGTCAAAAAGTCTATTTTAAATTCGGATAGTCGACCATGTGTTGCATAGTTAGTTAAAACGTCTGTTCAGTGACCTGCAGGTATTAATTTAACAAGTAACATGATAAAATTACCCCGTTAAGATCAAAAATCCAAAGCGTCCTAAGCGGCCAAGTGGACAACAGCGCGACTCCTCCTGGTAGGTAGGCTATTACTTTGTGTTTTCCCTCTTTCTAATTACGTCCCTAGAGAGAATTCCCTCGAAATCAGTTACATACACGTCCTTATAGTTTAATATAATTTCACATGTACTTCACGTGGTAACAAGAACTTTGGTTATATTCAAGTCAAAGAGCTTACCTAATAAGTTTTTTATTTTAAACAATTTAAAATACCAAAGTGCCTCAGGCCATACATTAGGCCAAAGAGCATGGAAAAAGCTGATTGAAAACCTCAAGCATGTGAAAAGGTATTTTAGGATGACAGAGCTGGCCATTATCAACTTCTGTAGGTCATGCTCTACCTCTTCAGCTTGGACTTCCTGTTAGGGAATTAAAGTAAACACAAAAAACAGGCAGTGAACAACTCAGTTAACGACACAATATAGTTCAATTAATAAACTGGATCCATCTGTTTTATGCTGATGTCCAATATCTGAACATTTCATGCCAAGACTGATAGATTGTTCTCCTTCCGTAAGTTTTATGTTCAGTTGTTTAATAGAAGTGGTGGCACAGTGGTGCAATAGCTTGCACAATTGCCTTGCCTGTTTGGCACCAGGGTGTGTGTGCATGCCCCATCAAAGGTTATTCACTGTCTTGTGCCCCCTATGACCTTGCATAAGACAAGCCTGTATGCAAAAAGGACATGTAGCACAATAGACTGATATAGAAAATATTAGTTGAATAATTGCCCTTCCCCTGTAGTTCTTTACTATCAGTTTCTTATTATTGTTTTCACTGAAGTAGAGGATGACGGATCTAAGGGTGCACTCTCTCCTTGTACTTCACAATTTGAGGTTTTGCATTTGAGTGTCTTTACTTTGAAGCTGGATAATCATGCCAAACTTTTGAGCATCTGTGGTGGCAGTTACATTAACAAATCTGCCATGCTGGTTCCTTTTGTGGGAAATCCACTCAACAGAGCTAAAAATCTTATCAAAATTACATTTTTCTGAGCATTAACCAAATGGTTTTCTCTATTGATTGACTTAAATCTTGCAGTGTGACATTTCTTATAGATGAGTGAAGACAGATATTGGGTTAATTCAACTAGAACTCCCTCAAATAGATCAAGAACGCTGAACAGAAATCCAGTGGTCACACGTAACATCACCCTACAGTGATTAATAGCTGAGGTGTACTTCATGAATTTCCTTATTTTTCACAGAATGCATCACTTCTAATTTCCTTCAACTGAATGTTTGACTTTTTTCACCAGTGCAAAATCTGCAAAGTTCTTAATCAAATCATGTGTAATGACCCAGCTGGAGTCCTTGATACTGAACCTCTTTTGGCAGAGAAGTCTTCAGAGATGCACATTCCGAGGAGCTTAAAGCTGAAGACAAGCTCCACCTCCGGCCCATTGATATGAATGGGGATATGTTTTACATCTACATTTACTTTTATTCAGCCAACATCCAAAGCGACATACAAGACACATAGCACATATTTGCAGCCTGTGCTGAAGTAGACAATGCGCTCCTTTGTATTCCTGGTGCTGAGGGCCAAGTTATCGTCGGCAAACCACAGTCAGGTATTGCACCATTTCCCTGTAGGCCTTCTCATTGTTCCCACTGATTGTGATGTCAAACTTTATGGTGATGTTAAATTACCACACAGGGACAACAGATGGATTTATTTCACCGATTAGATTGTTGTAGTTAGTTGGTTCAATTGATCACTGTAACACATTAAAATGGGACACTGTATATGCAACAGGAAATGCACCTCATAACACCCATGTATGCCAAACCCAAAAGAAAAATACTTAATTTTATTCATTTCGTGTTTTATGTACAACACTGTGTGCATTATTGCACCCTTAGAATACTTCCAAAATATTACAAATCAGAAACAAAATTATATTGAGAATTCCATGCGACTGTGAACAGGGCCACCTATAAACAGGGAGAAAGAGGAAGGTTTTCAGGGCCCTGTGTTCAGAAGGATGCCATGATGTCACTGATCTCCAGCTGCTTCAAAGGCACAGGATGCTGGCTGACCCTGTGCTCTGACCCCAAAATTTACTCTCGCCCGTATACATGTTGGCATGTCTGATGGAAAGCAAAATAGTACAAGCAAAAACTATTCAACATCTCCACAAGCATGAAGAAAGTATCACTAGGTTGAATTAGTATTTCTAAATACTAATCGTACAGACCGGCATCCCATCCAGGGTACATTGCTGTCCTCTGCCCTATTTTCATGGGTGTAGAGTGCAGACTGCCCCACTGCTCTGCCCAGGATAAATGGTTAGAAGATGGATAGCAAGTCACTGGGTAGCCTTCACCCAGCCCATGAGTGGCCCAAGCCTGCAGCCAGGCCAGCTCAGAACAACTGGCAGAACAGACACTTTTCTCAACACTTTATCCTGTAGATAATACTACACGAGTCTAGAACAGTATTTCTACACACGATTAAATTGCTCATGTTGATATTGAAAGTTTATTAACATTTTTGTAAAAAAAGGAAAGAAAAAAAGAAAAGAAAAATACAAGATTTATTCTCATAGAAACATTTTTAAAAATGTAGAGCTCAAAGTAGAGGCTTTTCCCCACTGCCTTCATTTTTTTCCTTACATACTGGCCCCTGAAAATCAAAGACCTGAAACACAGATATAACACACACTGACAACTCCCCATCAAGACAGCATTCCACTGAGAATCTAAAGAAGAACGGGTTTAGTGTGCTTCAAAGCCATAACTTACCGGGCAGAAGGGCCTTATTTGTGCTGGGAACTCTTTCCTGAAGCGATATCTTTTTGTGCCTGTTTCAGTCCCTGTTGAGGGTGGGAGGATAAAGAGTAATTTTTTATCACAAGACAAAAAAAAAAAAACAAATGAATACATTATTATACATGTGAATCTGTCACAAGATGTGGCTTATTCAGACTAATTCAGACTCTGGCTTATTCAAATGTCAGTCAACACTGACACAAATACATTTTTTGTATGGACACAAGAAACAGGTACTTACTAGATAATAACCAGTGTGGTAACCACTCATATACCAGGAGATCAACATGCTGCTCAATGCTTCATCTTCAAGGGTGTCTGGACTTATTGGGGGTGGAGGCGGAATCATCTAGAGAAGATGAATTCACAAAATCACAGCTGCACATGGAAACAAGGCATAATTAAATAGAAAAAGCTAGACTATATAAAACACACAGTGTTAACAACAGCTATACAGTACCATAAGGGAACTGAATGCAATGAGAGGTGATGACAATATAAAAAGTTATTGAATAAGCACACTTAGTTCATTTCCATTGGTTGAAACAATGGAAAAACATACAGCAATCTATAATGCGAGATAAAGAATAAATCATTGACATGAAGGGAAGAGAGAGCCCAGTAGCACACATAAGAGAGACACTGGATTTTCCTTAATTGTAAGAAACATGATAGGCGGCTTACTGGGGGTCCAGAGGGAATAAACGGAAGTCCACTCAGAAATGCAGGATCCAGACTGCCAAGCCCCGTTTCATCCTGAAGGCAGATAATTATCTTTAAGGAACTCTATCACACATTTATGATCAATGCTAGCTCTACATTAGTATTCGTTTGAAGTATTTCCTGACTAAATGTCTTAGATTTTACTAAATATTTACAACAGGATTTAGATACACGCAAAGAACACACTTTTTAGTAAAACTTACTGGATTCTTATATGTAACTGTGTTTTTGCCCAATATAAGGTATAACACTATAGCATGCAACTTTCTACCACTAGACAAACCATAAGTAACAGTTGTCACTCTTCTGTTCTACCCACCTTCCTGAAAGCAGGTGCTGGAGATGGGGAATGAGAGAAGCCTGAAGCCCACGCTGAAGGTCCTGAAGAAGCTCCGGGTCGTGTTTTAGACTTGTGTTGTTGACTGAGCTGTGGCTGGCTAGAGGATCTATCACTTTCATCGGTAGAGGACTGGACATCTTTCTGATAATGTATTATACACACAAAGAAACACACACTCATTCTGACACCACAAATTCACTAATGTAATACAAAAATCATTTACGTGTTTATACTGAAAAATAACTACCTGAGTCACTCTGTGAGCTTCACTATTTGCTACAGAATTCTCAGAAAGGAGGTCTGTCAGGTTCTGCTTTTCCTCATTCCCATAGTCAGTATATACTACTATGCAAGTCCCCTTCTCGGGGTCTATTGAAGAAATTCTGGCTGGGTACAAGTTACCATCTTCAGACCAAAATGCATAACATGTGTCCCCAATTTGCCACTGTCAGGTAAAAAAAATAGAATAAATTATAATAGAATGACTAACACTAAGATCTGTTAAAGTGAATTAGTTAAAAATAAAAAGAAATAGTCTGCTTATACATCTCTTTCTGGAAGGGCATTGCTCCTCTTCCTGTTTCGATTCTTTTTGTTGTTTTTCCTTTTCTTTCCAAGTTTGTCGTCTTTGGTTGGGCCAGAGTCCTCCACACCCTTCAAAGCGTTCTAACGAAGGACACAAATTATCTCAATATAGCCGATATTAAACTAACTCCTGACGAACAAATGACAACGAAAATCAGTTAACTGGCATACAAAAAAGTTTTATTGCAGATTCCTGCAGTTTCTGCTGTGTTGGCAAACACTATAATAATCAGCACAAGCATCAGTACTAGCCCCAACAACTGACACCTTCAACATTGTTATTTTATTTAAACAAGAATGTTCATTCCAGTGTCCAACATAAACGGAAAATAATAAATCACTAGTGTCTTTAACATAGCGCTCACCTTAAACGATGCCACCGCTTTATCGTAGGCTTTTATCAAAGCCGTATCGTCCCAGATGTCAGAATCGTCACTCTGCGACGCAGGATTTCATTGATATTAGATGTTAATTTTCCTTTCCACTCTGGACAAAATAGCCGCTAAAAATCTAACACCATCCAGTTTTAACAGTTTATGCAAACTACTGCAGCCGGTAACTATTCATAATTATTATTTTGCATGTAACAAAACGGACAATGAAAAACTACGAACACTGTGACAGAGTTAGTATGGATTCCTCTATTAATACTCAGCTAGATACAATCAAAATCTATAGAGAAGCACATGTGGTACAACGTTAGGCCTTCTGGATAAATAACCACCGATATACAAAGCTAACCAAAGCAAATTAACATGAACTTTTAAATATGTCGTTGGCTGCATACTTACCTGACCATCTCCCCGGGTAAAAAGAACTTCCTTGTATCCATTAGCCATAATCCCAATTATCTTTTTGATAGACTGTTGAACGACATTTAAGAGCAAACAGCTTAAATCAGTCACACTGCGACCGAGCTGCTACAAACCACTTCTACGCATAAAAGCTGCGACAGAGGTGCCTTCAAATTCCGGTTACGTATAAGAGCTGCGACAGAAAGACCGTCAGCTGCCTGGAAACGGCGACGCTAATCATCGTTTACAGAGGTTCCCCTTAATATCACTTTTAAAATGATAGACGCGGCGCTGAGTTCTTCAGGCACTCAGATTGTCTTAGCATCGTCAAGCGATGAGAATTATCCCCCAGAAAACATACTTAACGGGTAAATGTATACTATATTAATTTCTGAGTGTAGGGTTAATGTATTATTTGGCGTTTTGTTTATTATAGAGCATTAAGGAATGAAGGATGCTTTACCGCATTTCAGCACGCCATGTTAAAATGCGCTTGATAGCTAACGAAACGAACTATGTAGTGTTATGAATCAGCTTTGATTGCTTAATTTATTGTTATGTTAGTGGAAGAAGTAGCATCGCCATTAAAGTATAAAACTATTTATTGTTTTCTTTGGTATTTGCTAACACGACACGAATGAATTGATGCCTGGTAGCCGTTTTAGACGTATTAGAATTCCGCACTGTTAGAAATCAGCTTGTTAGCATGAGGCACCGTAAATGGGGGGTAAGATATGACCATTTCAAAGGTCCCCTGAGTGACAAGGGGCTTAAAACTTGGAATATAATTGGATTGGCCTGGGGTGGGGGGCCAATATGAAATGCTTTCCTGGGGACTAACATCTCTAGCGCGCCTCGGCAAGTTAAGCAGCATTATGACTGAAGTAAAAGCATTTTTTCCTTGCAGAAACACAGAAACATTTTGGATTTCCACGGGAATGTTTCCACAGGAGGTCATCGTACGCTTTCGAAGTCTGGTAAAAATTGCCTTGGTTACCATGCACAGTTACAATGGTAAGGCAGTGTTCTGGAATTAATCAGAAATTCATGTTTAGAGATATTGTTTTTGCAACTTGCATATCGTTAACCAGTGACATACGGTTGCCTAAGTTTATCAGGAATTACCTTTGAATCTTGTCATCAGCTAATTTCTAAATGACCCGAATTATGTGTACTATTAAGTAAGATTTTCCTTAAGAACTGGGTCATCATAATTTATCTAGGCTAATTATAGTAGTTTTATTATTTTTGTTTTTCCTTTAGTGAAGACGCTTAAAATTGAAAAAAACACCTTAAATGATACTCTGGAATTTGAGCCCGTTGCTGAAAAGGGTAAGTATACAAATGTAGTTACATAAGTACTACCATATGCTTTACATTATTCCGTATTTTGACTGTTACATTTGTCTTACAGAATTCGAGTGCACAGAAGGACACCTTCAAACAAACAGCTTTTCAGTAAGTAAAAATGTAAATGTCAGGACAGTGACGGGTTTCATATCCGAATATGACTGCGGTCATTCCGTTTTAATTAAATCAAAAAAAGGTCTTGGCGTAGCCATTTTTGATTTTAATAATTTACGCATACCTTACGAACTTGTGCACTGCTTACCTCATGAAGGAAACCAAGCAAAAGGTCTATGTATGTATGTATAAAAACATATAAATGCTGACCTGGGGGATATCACACGAAGCAGGATTTCTCAGTTAGCTGGGTTAACTTAAGCCAGAAGTCATGATTGTCCAATAAGTTTAGGTAAGTAGTATTCCTATTGGGCAATCATAACTAAAGCTAACCTTACTGAGAGAATACTGCTTCATGGAACACACCCCTGTATGTATTTGTGCAAAAATATTTTTTGAGCTTTCCAATGGGCTATGGAAATGACCCACAGTTTTACATTTCCCTCGCAGCTCCCTGGAACCGGCGTGACTCACCTGCGCTTCATTATTACTGCAGGATATGATCATTTTGTTTCTGTACATAGGGTGACTGTAGATGGAGCACAGGAATAATATCAATTGTATTTAAGTCAAAGAACCAGCATTGTGGGTGAGAATGTTGATTGTCTTTTTCCAGTAGATGTTGAATGATTCCAGATTTTTTAGATTAGTATAAAAGCATTTATGATCTCGACAGATATCAGCAGTTACTCAGCTCATGTGAATATTTTGTTTGGCCAATGAACTTGATACTAAAATAACTCATTTGATTGCTTTGCTACATACTCCAAGCAAAAAGTAGGATTGATTTCCTTCTGTTAATATTTTTATTGTGCCTGATTGTGATTTTGATGTTTTTTTTCCTCCATGTAAATAAAAATTGTATTTTTTGATAGCTTGGTATTGATCTGTGTTCATCATTATTAAATCCACATCTGTTTATGGGTTATTGCACTTGTGGCGGCCTGTTTTAACCACAAGTTATTTATTATATTTAAGTAATGCAATTTAATTGTTCAGACCTCGTTCACCTCAAATCCTAATGTAATGTTACTATGCACATGGAGGTAATTCATGTAACTACTGGTTTGTTATGTATCAGAAACCAGCAGCTCATCTTCTCCTGGGCTCCACTGTGTACTCGTGTTACAAGTTCTGTGTTAGCCCGTTCATATGATCACAGGACAAATAGAAGCTCAGATATTTCAATATTTCCTTAGAGATGATACACCTGGGGTCTGTGCTGCTGCAGAATGACACTCCAAAAAGCTGGTAGTGGAATGTTTGGAAAATGAAAGCATGGTACCAAATCCACTGATAAACCACAATACAGATTAGAAATTATACATGTATTTGTCATACAGTTTCCAAAATAGTTTCATCATGGAATAGATTAATACAGGTGGCATTAATAATAATTTCAGAATATTTTAGTTGATCACATCTACACACAGACAGACTTTAAACTCATAATCTGACTGCAAACTTTTTTTTTTTTTGTATACACATGATTTACTTTGCAACCAAAGAACGATACATAGTAGCAAATCCTGTTTCACACCAAAACATAACTTTTATAACCTATTTTATGAATGTCTGAGATAGACGAAGATGGTGTATGGGAGGAAACAGCTCTAAGGTCCATAGACATCTTGAAAACATTGTGCTTGTGGAATCACATCCTGAATACGCCAAAGTTTGTCTTTTGGACAGGAGAATTAAGTGCTGCACTAAGGCTAAGTCCCAGTACCAGACGGGTATCAGCTGGGTCAATGATGCCATCGTCCCAAAGTCTGCAGATGATGATACAGAGGAAGTAGAGGGTACATGTCATTAGGTGGCAAAATGTAACTTACACTGCAAGTAATAAAAATTCAATTACATTCCTAAAACGACTTCTGTGTCTGCCTTTAGCCAAAAGTTTGGAGATTCTCAACTGTGACTCATAAAGCATGATATTGTGTAAAAGTATATGAAGTATATGATAAAATATTTTATGGAGTATTAAAATTGTCAACAGATTTGCAAAATTTTTTTAAATATTACAGTGTAATAATAAATGTTGCTAGTGACATCAAACACTCAAATGTGTTATTTGTTTGTGAAATTTAAATCACTAGATTAAAAAATTTTTGTTGTATGGATTTTCACCATGAGGAAAATGTGAGAACAGGGCTGCATTCATATAATGAAGGATGGGTATATGCTTTGCAGTTCTTGCAAAGTACAAATATATGTCAGGATGGAGAAAAAATGATAATTTAAAGTGTATCATTTTAAAACTGTTCCCAGGGTCACAATAAGCATGGAGTCTAACCTAGAAATCACACATCATTCCCCATCATGTTATAGGCACATGCCAATGGAAGCAGAGCCCAGGGCAACTGAAGCAGATACAGGAAGGATTATATATTCTGGCTGCCTTAAGAATGCCTGAGAATCCGCAGAAGGAGTCAGAGCAGTACTGGAGAGAATCCAGATAGTCGGTGTGTGGCCATCGTACGCCTCCACAGGAGCAGCAGTTTGAAGACGGATGGGTGGATGAGACACTTTTGAATATACTTTAGCAAAATATGTTATTCAAGTTAAAAAAAGTGCAATAAATTACCTGGCACTGGAGTAGTATGGGTTACCCTCTTCTTCAAATCGCTTCACTATGGGTTCTTTCATACTTGCCTCCTGCTCTGCTGTAAACTGAAGGGCATAGAGCTAGAATCCTGCCATTTCTCTTACCCATCAGTTCATGACTGACAGTTTATACATTTACTTATTGTGCAAGTCAGAAGATCTAGCTGAAACATATCTTATTACTAAAACTATGCTGAGATCAACATGACACAATGAACACAGTGTGCTTACTTCTTTTCCCTCACGCAGTTTCTGGTCTTTGGTGATGGTGGCCAGAACAGTAGCAGCTTGTTCCCCGCCCATCACAGATATACGAGCATTGGGCCACATATACAGGAATCTAGGGCTGTGGACAGAATTTGACATTGGGCATATAAATCAGGGTGCATTTTTAAGACACAGCAATGCAAACTAAATTATTTCAACTGCAGTTCATCATGCAGGTTTTCATTTATCTATTTTTATTCCAATGGAGAATGACCAAAATGTGGGAATGACCAAATCTGGAGCGGGGGAGGGGGAGGGGGAGGGACTACCTGTATGCTCTGCCACACATTCCATAGTTGCCTGCACCATAGGAGCCCCCAATAATCACTGTGACCTTAGGCACATTGGCACAGGCTACAGCGGTCACCATCTTTGCTCCATCCTTAGCAATTCCGCCTGCCTCATACTCTCTGCCGACCATGAAACCTGACAGAGAAAACATGTACACTGTACTATGTAATCTGAAACAAGAGATGTGACAAACGGCTGGCTATATCAGAAGTAAACAAATATAGAATTATCCATTGATTTCTATTAAGTATGAAATTGTGTTAAACTCACCAGTTATATTTTGAAGGAAAATTAATGGGATTTTCCTCTGGCAACATAACTGAATGAAATGGGTTCCCTGTAAGAATGGAACAGCTGTTATAAAACTATGCAGAAAAAGTAAATAACTTTCATTCATTGCAACTTGAAATATATATTCAGTTATGCAAAATGTTCAGAAATACATTAACTGAAATAGGACATTTTAAATATAATGGCATACATAATTGTTTACATAAAGAGCAATAATTGTAGGACTGGAGTACAATAGTTGTAGCACTGGACTGTCTTATTGTGGATCATACACGTAATATCAGCTTGTTTTTCCTCTGCCTGTACCATGTGTCCCATGGTTCTATTCACTGACCCACCCAGAGCCAAACTCCATTAATAATAAGCAAACAACCAAACAAAATGTTAATTTATGTATGGCACTGGAATACAAACTTTCTTGGCAGATTCTGAAAACAAGACTCCATTGTTGCCAATGATTCCCACAGGGTAACCGAATATTCTTGAAAAACCTGGTCAAAAGAAGAAAAAAACAAACAAACATTCTATAATGACCAGTATCTAATAAACTGTTAAATTATGTATCATATATAAATATTTATATGTTGTGCTATACCAGTGACCAGTGTGTCTCCATACAATGCCTTGAACTCATCAAACTTGCTTCCGTCCACAATTCTCGCAATAACCTGAAATGACCATTTCCTTCCTATTAGTGTGAGCAGTACAAAACATTCAATTCTGCTTTTAGTGAAAACGGCACAAAAATATTAGGGTAGAACACCATTTCACAGAACAGAATTTATATACTACTTTTAATTTATTAATTTATAAGTTCCATTTAAAGTACAGACTGAAAAGAGAACAAAAATAAAAATACTGATTTGGATATTTACTTCTCGAACATCAAAGTTTCGTTTCAAGTTGTCTCCAACAATGCCGTACAGCTCATCCGCTGGAAAAAGGGGGGCTTCAGGTGCTTCCACAGTCACCTGAAAGAACAAAGTTACAACTGACTGAAAGAACAATCATAAACAATTCCAATCATTTGTTCTCAAAACTTGAACTCAAATAGAAAAAGGTGCTACTCAACAGCGTTAAAAAAAACGATTCATATTTTACCCATAACCATACAGCCCTAGTACTCAATACTTACATTAAGAGTTTTAATGTAGTTCAAACTTCGTACTGCTTTGCGAGCTAAATGCAGTGCATGGCTATCATCCAGGGCATAATGGTCAGTGACACCAGACTTTCTATGAAAGTAAAACAAAATTAAAAAAAAAAAAACATTAACCAAAGACCACACAAGTCAAAATGAATCTTTATACGTGATTTGTTAACCACTCAGTATTTGTAACACTTGATATACTGGAAAGTAAAGTTTTTCAATGCTGACTACCACACATTAAACATTAGATTTTAGTTAAACTTTGCATTATTTCATGTTTTTTCAATTTATCATGTATTAAGAATTGATTAAACCGGCAGTGAAGGTCAGCTCCTCCCAGATCTTCAGCAGACACCTCTTCACCAGTAGCTGCCTTTACCTGTGACAGACACAGAATACCAACTCATGCTGTATTTACTTCAGCACTAAGATTCTGGGGTTGCAATTTGCAATTTTCTTAAAACAAAATGCAAAAACCAGAACTGACAGGACAAAGACAACATTTCATTATCATAAGAGAAATGAGTGACAATTAACAACATTGATATGGAGCAGCAGGCATTGCACTAAATTGTTGCAGTAAAAATGTCAGTGACAATGCACTCAAAAAAGGCTTTCTTGACCAATCATTTCAAGAAAATAATGTAATTTAATCAGAAAAACAGAAGTTACCTAACAAAATAAAATGGTGATTGCCATACTTATAATTCACTATCAGATATCGCTGCAAAGGAAACCAACCAAAGGAGGTCCTCCAAGGAAAATGGTCCCTTGTTTCTGCACTATGATGCTCTCGTCAGCCATGGCAGGGACATAGGCCCCCCCAGCTGTGCAGGATCCCATGACGACCGCTATCTGTAAACAAAACACCACAAAAACATTAGTTATATCAGTATTTACAAACACTTTTTGTTTGCCCTAGAAGTAAAAATTACACAGACACAGAACATGCATGTTTAAGTTTATGAAAGTAAAATGACCTGTGCTAATCCTTCGGAAGATAGGCGAGCCTGATTGAAGAAGATACGTCCAAAGTGATCGCGGTCTGGAAAAACGTCGGCTTGTCTGGGCAAATTGGCCCCACCGGAATCCACTGTGGTTTCACCATGCAAATATTGGGGAGGGGGTTGAATTGTAATGATTGCCAACATTTAATCGCTGTGAAAGTTAAAGGTCTACAGTACACGCACCTAAGTATATACATGGCAAATGGTTTTGCTGAGCTATTTCTTGAGCCCGGAGGTGCTTCTTCACCGTTATTGGGTAAT